ACATACACACATACATACACACACAGACAGGGTCGTCCCAATATGTGTTTTTGCAATTTGCATGTAGGCAAAAACGCATAAAAATTACAAAATTATCGACTCTGTACGTGTGTTCGTAGTGCCATTCAGAACCGGTCACACTGAAAATTTGCCGGCCCATTCATTCCTGTTTTTAATCTCTCTCGTTAAATCAACCTTCACGTCCGTGAAGCCGACGCATCACAAAACCGCAGCTCAGTTCTTTGTTGCTAAGCCTTGGATTGGATCTTCAAAGAGAGAAGAAATTAATCGTGTCCTTAAAATTTCGCGACAGAACGTGCGATCACTGTAGAAATAAGAATAACAGATGTTGGTTCTGCCAAAGTGAAATTGACCAATGTTGGTAGCGTGTCACCAAAAGAGTGGACTAAGCCCTCGTGTTTGCGGGAGGAAGTCCGGTTTACCTGTTGGATCACGTTGCTAGCTTTGCAGTAAACGCTGAATATCGTATATCGATGCGTAATAGTCGAAAAAAAGAAACTGACCGTTCAGCGGTTTCCAAGACTGAAATTTCACAATTCGTGTTTGCAGTCGCGGCGCAGACATGCTTTAGAGCTGGATTTTAAATCATTAGCTTACACAAGACATCGAATATCCCTGTTAAGTTTCAGACTATTATTTCAGCTTCTTATCACTGTGGAACTTCAGCTTCTTGCATTTGATTTCCAAAATCGCTTTTCTGGCAGAAAATTTACGTGAACTGTAGGTAAACGTTGATTTTCAAATCTTTGGAAGGCAGTGGGGCCAGGGACACCCTTGTGCTTGCTTCAGCGGTTGCTAAGCTGAATGAGGGTAACAGCATTCCGAACATATATATATATTTGACACTATATATATATATATATATAAGACAGTCGATATATATATATATCGACAGTCTTTTGACAATATGTGTTTTTGCATTTGTATATGACGCAAAAACGCATAATGAATCTAAGTGCATGAGTCTGTCTAGTCCCTAAGCGCAGCATAATTTATCGCTCACACATCAGTGTACTTTTGACGCACCGAGGGATAAGATGGTGCTGCCGTCCTTCTCTGCTACAATTGCGGCTGTCACTTCTGCTCTTTTAGCTCAAATATTCGGCCAAATGCTTTTATATCAAATGCACTGCAGCTGTTCTTTTCCATTTCCACTTTTTTTCAGTCTCTTCAAGAGTTTGCTTTTTTTAGCGACATTTCTGAGCTAAAATAAAAGATATGTCTCAAATTTACGATTGAAATTTTTTTTTCTCCGCCCCCGAAGATGACTAGTATTTATTAGCATCAACAAGGCTAGAAAGCAGCCTCTTTTTTCAAAAATAACATGCTCAAGTTTTATTTCATAATGCACCAGGGCTTTCGCACTTTACAAAGCAGTTATTTTTGTCCTTTTTCTCCATAATTTTCTGCTGATTTTGAACTAATACATGTATAGTTGATTTTAGGTCAGTACAGAAATGTTTGACTCATCATTTAGGGGTGAGAGAATCCAGAAAATAAGGAAGTTGTCGAGTCAGGTCAACAACTAATGTTTTCATTGCAGGTGCGAACGGTACCGGTTTCGGTGTGGGTTGGTGGTGCTGCATCAATCAGGACGGCAGACGCGGCTTTGTACCAGCTAATCGCCTTCGTATGCTTCATCGATTCGAGTACAACACTTCACCTCAGGTATGCACGTAGCTGTATTTTGGGTCGGTCTTGAGTAGCTGCTCTCTTGCATCCTCATTTTTCTTCTTTCTGAAAAAAAAAAAAAAAAAAA